GAAAATTGAGTTGTGTTCTGAAAATTGAGTTTTGATTCCTTTTTAATTTGGTTTTAGGATGGTGGTTTCTAACAAATGACTAGGAAGCAGCTGTCCAGGAGGGAAGAGAATCCAGTATCCCCTAGACAGAGAGCTTTTATTATTCTGATTTGTTATGAATATACACAACTAAGATGGTCTTGGTTAAAAGATGAAGTATATTTTACTATGCCTTCGCACTAAGGGAAACGGACACTGACATTTCTGGCTCGGCCAGGAGTAATGTGGACAAGCTTGTGTCTCATACACACCTCTGCCAATGTAGCTCAGTATTCATCTGCAACATCCCAGCTATTAGAATACAATCCTGGCTCTCTTTTGGGAAGATGCTACCCATGATGATAAATACTGTAGATTAGTTATGTGGACAAAAGGAGACTAGGATATAGCCCCCAAATTCACTAGTTATAGTTAAGCAAATATCTCTTAATTATAGACATGCAGCTTAATTTCCCCTGTTTGAGAAATGTTTTCAAACACATGTATCAAGTGCTGAATTGAAGTATTTATGCTGCCTTGGCTATTCAGAAGCCAGCAGTTACTATGACAATAGACTAGTCCAGCAAGCTGTAGCTTTTTTGATGATGTATTTAATACCCTAAAAAAATCTCAGACATGCCTTCAGGATGATGCCATAGTTATTGTGAAGTTACACTACTCTGTATCAGCAGCTATGCCTCTCCTGCCACACACTACTGATTGTATCTAGTTATCACAGCCTCCTCCTAAACACTCTGCAAGTAATGTAGTGCAAATATAGTCAACGACTTTTTCCACACTCTGGAGTAGGGGGAAGGGAAACAATCCTTCTGTCTAAGCAATATGCACCATTCCTTATGTTCATACTGGAAAAATCCACTCCTCTCAAGTTCACGGTCTCTCTTTGGGCTAAATCATTAATATTGGGTTTGGTTTGGTTGTTAAACACTATAGACTGCTGACCCATGCATTGAGAGCTGCTGCCTGCTTTGCTGCTGCTGCTGCTATCAGAATTTCAGCATTTGCAGATGCCTTCACCTTGGTAATCCTTGTAGTAAAAGGCCCCAAGGGTCATTGTAGAATGGTGAGGTTCTGGTTCACAGTTGAATACGGGTAATCCTTGTGATTCTGCCAGTTTATGCATCACGGAACATAAAAAGGAACAATGAAATTTGAATATACAGGATTGTTTTTCTTTATCTTTAGACCAACAGTAGATTTCTACATAAGACGTAAGCTAGTGTGTACTGTACGTGTGTGTGTGTTACTCTTTATTAATAGGCTCGTTTATATTACTATATTCTAATCCATGTATAGAGTTGCTCCTCCAAAGCTTTAATTTAATATTGTAATTAACACTGAACTAAAAATAACTTGCTCACTGTACCAAAACTGCAGAAATTTAGAATGAGACAAGATGTGAGATTTCAAAGGAACACATGGTAGTCAGGCACCTAATTCCCATCGACTATCAATGGCAATGAAGTGCCATTGTACCATATATACCTTTGAAAATCTCTTTGTAAATCTTGACATGGTCTCTTTTTAGCCATTCTTCCTACAGATTTAGTTAGATACCTGAATACCTTTTATTCTTGTCATAAACTGTTTAGTATTGCTCACGTACACCTTGTTAGAAAGCAGCTAGGTTGTACTCCAGAGGTGGCTACATTTCATTAGTATGTGGAACAATTCCTGCATGTATAATATATACTATAGTTTGCAAAGTACCTTGGTAACTTTCTGGAAAAAAAGATATATAAATGTAAACTAAATATTGCATTAAATATACCAATCTACAGATTTTTTTAGTAATTAATTCACTGTAAGCCATTCTACCAAAAGAAAATGTCTTCCCATTTTAGTCCTAAAGACTTCCAAAGTATTGTTACAAAAATGTTTATTTTTAACATGATCTCCATAAATTATCTTGACGTTTTGACATATCAACATTGTCTAAAGTTTGGAATTCTAAGTGACTGATATTCTTTCTCCATTTAAACTCGGCACTGTTTCTGTGTATTTATTCTGCATGCAGTGTTATAAAGCAAATCATTATCCCATTATAATGAGTCAAGTGGAGATGTGGTCTACTTTATGATGTCAAAGGCAAAGAATGAAGTTTTGCTCATGGTGTCAGCTGGAAGGATAGGATTGTATGATAAAGTTCTCTTGATTCAGTGATTTTTTTTTTCTAGTTCCAGTTCCCATCTGAGGCTACATCTACACTACAGGGGGGAGTCGATTTAAGATACGCAAATTCAGCTACGTGAATAGCGTGGCTGAATTCGACGTAGCAGCCGACTTACCCCGCTGTGAGGACGGCGGCAAAATCAACCTCTGCGGCTTCCCGTCGACGGCGCTTACTCCCACCTCCGCTGGTGGAGTAAGAGCGTCGATTCGGGAATCGATTGTCGCGTCCCGATGGGACGTGATAAATCGATCCCCGAGAGGTCGATTTCTACCCGCCGATTCAGGCGGGTAGTGTAGACCCAGCCTGAGAGTAGCACATAGCCACCCATACAGTATGAGTGCTTGAGGGGAAAAAATATTCTCACATTCTGCAGTAATTTCATCTCTTCTCGGCTAGGAAAGGTCTAAAGAGTGGATATACAGTACACTATAAAGAGTGTTCTGGAAGGATTTTGCTGATAGATCACTCATCAAAATCAGTTTGCTCATTATTCACTATTCTCCTTACTGTAGTTTCCAACCCCCACATTTAATGTCCAATTGCAATAACCGCTGGTGGATCCAAATGGGTTAGTCTAGCTTGATAATAAGTAATTACAAAATGTGCTGCGAAGGCAGTTTTCAGAGTTGTATTAGTTGGTAGATAAGGTCAAATTAGAGCTGGTGTTTGGGTTTAGAGCCTACAGCTGGGAACCAAAGAGATCTAATCCCACTGAATTTCCGAATCCCTTAAATTACTTGGAAAACCCCAACCAACAGCATCGTTTGTTTCCATGAGAGTTCTGCCATCTTGGGACAAAATCTTGCAAGAAATGGTTGTTTTCATGATATTTTGGCAGCACAGTGACTGGAAACAACACAGGCTCAATCAACACAGTAGAGGCAGAATTGGATCTGGGGTATTAAATCAGAAGTTCCTTCAGTGGTGGTCACCAGTTCAAAACCCTTGGGGCAAAACAAGAACCTTTATTTAGAACCTATTTGAAAAGAGAATCCATTTCGCCAGATTTTCAACAACAAAAAAACAAAAACAAACAAAAAAAAAGTTCACTCAGCTACATGCACAATTCCCAGGATTTTGCAAGGTAAACGTGGATGTAAATGACAGGTTGGAACTTTAACATACATTCCTGTCCCTCAGCCCAGGACCTGATTCAGCAAGCACTAACTCATATGAGTTACTTAAATTGCATAACGAGGCTTGTTTTAAAATCATTGGAACTACTCAAATGAGTAAATATATGCACATAAATGGTTACGGGATTGGATCCTGATTGTGTGTTTTTGTTTAAACCTGTGAAATTTTGGCCTTGAAAGGGTTTTTTAAAAATTAGAAATAGCCTGAAAAAATGAAAAATACAGGCAATTGCTAAGGTTTCATCGGAACTTCAGTATTTAATGTACTAATTAAAAGATGAGCTCACATGTTAACTAATAGTGCATGGCTTCTTAATTCATGTACATCTCTTATTCATGTCATACCTAAGCATTTTAAACAAAACAACCTCTGTTATGTTCATCTGACAAAAAGTGATTGCTCATGTGATGATTAATCTCGTCCATGTCAGGACTAACATATGTAATGGCTGTGATATGAGTTGGAGGTTTCAGTATAATTCATAGAGGGTGGATGTTCAAAACCACAAATACCATCACTAGCGCTTATGCTAATCTTGTTGGTAGTCCTAGCCTGGAGGCCAGGGTTTGTGAAGCAATTAATACTGAATTCCCTTTTGGCACTAGCAGCTGTTAACACCAGGTTAAGATTAATGTTAACACCATTGAGACACATAGGTGAGTGCAGGGCGGGTGGGAGGGGAGAGTTTTTCTTGATGTCCAGGAGGTTCCTGTTGTGTGGAGAAGACAGAGGATTTTGGTTTCTCCACTCCTCAGTCCAGCACTTTTGTAAAGGCACTAGATCAACTATTAATATGTTCTTCCGCCCTACCCCACAAAAAAAAAGATAATTAAGCCACTAGATTGCTCATCAGCATAGGTTAAAAACTTAACACACTTCTTTTTTTCCATCCTAAAATACATAGTAGGTCATTTTTTGAAAATAATATAAGTCTTTGCATTTGGATATTTCTGTGGTGTGATATTTTCCCTGTCAATTAAAAGAATTTTGGAGAACAGTTAAGTTATTCCCAGAATAGACATTTCTTGTCAACTAATACAACTAAATTAATGGAAACTAATTGTTCTAAAGTTCATGAATCACATTTCTCCTAATTGCTTGCCTCTCCATCCACATCTGCTGGTTTAATTTTATCCTTTGTGCTTTAAATACTAGTGAAGCATTCAATCTTTTTTTTTTCCCCCCCATCTCTAACTTTTATTAGGGCATCTTGACTGCTCTTCCCTTTTTCCTTTTCCTATATGAGAGTACTCCCAGTAGGTATTAAGCAGTGCTTTGTCCATTAGCATCTCCCTCATTGTCTGACACTTCAGTATGCAAACAAATAAACTGGAATAAAGAGACTACAGGTTTTCTCCTTTGTCTATTGTGGGACTAATAGCACACTATTTCTGAACGGTTCTTTCCTTGTGGTAATAGAAGCCTTGTGCTTTGTATCTAGAATTTATTCATTTTATATAGAGCTTACATGCTGTGATTATGTGTAACCCAATTATTTAATAATTTGTGACAGTATGACTTTCTAAGAGTCATAAAGACTAATGGACTGAAACACTGGAATATTCAGTCAAGAAATTGTCTGGTTTGTAATTTCTGGAGCTACACTGGTAACCACTACTCATAATATTTGTATTTATTTTTCCTCTTACAGATGATATTAAAGTATCAGTAAATGACTTTATTATCAAAGCAACAGCAGTTACCCTCAAAGTAAGTAAATAATTTACCTTCAATAATATAATTGTAGAATAAACTTTTTTTGAGGGGGACAAAAGTATTGACAAAGCTTGTTTAGTACTACAGTACAACTGTATTTCTATGCATTACCTCTTTTTAGATGAAAGTATTGTGAGCATAGTAATATTGCTCCATGATCTGCACTGTGTACTGGTTTTTGACATGGAATTTAAGGTGTTGGCATTGACTTAATAAAGCCCTAAATGGCCTATGATTAAGGCTAAGATTTTGTCATGCATGTTTTTAGTCTTCTTTTGTATGGCTGGTGTAGAGCAGCAACTACAATTTCACCTGAAGTTGATTGAGTCAAATGGCTACATCAGCAGTAGCAAAATTTATTGCAGTGATGTGGTGGAAGATGGTGGCCTTCACAGGGCCCACTCTAAATGAGAATTCACAAGGAATGCCATCAACTTGGCGACCGAACATCGCTCAGCGATCTCCCGGTCATCAGAGCAGTAACTCAACAATATTTTTAGTAAAATTCAGGGATAGGTCACGGACAATAAAGAAAAAAGTCACAGAAGCCTGTGACCTGTCTGTGACTTTTACTGAAAATATCTGTGACAAAGGGGGCAGCTGTGAGGGCCCTGGCTCAGATTTCCAGGGGTCCCTACTGCCCGTTGGGGCTTGGAGCTCCGGGGTTTCCTGTTCTACTGCGGCTTGGGAGCTCCAGGGTCCCCCTGCGGCGGCTCAGGAACGGTGGTGGGACCCTGTAGCTTCCAGCTGCCACTGGCTGAAGTCACAGAGTTCTCTGGAAGTCACCAATTCCATGACTTCTGCAACCTCTGTGACAAAATCGTAGCCTTACCTATGATCTATATACCTGAGAGATTGCCTCTCTCCTTATGCCATATTGCTGCAGGTACAGAGACTCTTCTGTGAAATTCAAAGGAGTAGTAGAGCATTATCTGTGAGAATGCTTTGACTTGGAAACTTGCTCGCCTCTTTGGTCCAAAATTGCCTACATCTGATTACTTTAAGGGTACATTGCAAAGCCCATCTTGTTGCCTAAGCATGTGAAAAGAGGAGAATTGGGAGGGTGTTTTTAATGGGGGGGAGGGAGTAATGTGTGGATGGTTTCCGTACTTCATTTGCATGTTGCTGCAAATAACTAATAGAGGATGGACTTGCTGTAGTTTAGTCATAATGGAGGTGTGTGTGTGTGTATATATACTATTTTTTATTTATTTATTTTTGTTGTTTATTTTAAGTTGAACACCTAAAGTAGATGAGCAACTGCTTTTCCTACTGTATAGAAATCAAGAGACTATTTTAGCTTAAATGGTGGGGGCCAGGATTTTGGAATTGGAAGAAGTTCTGAGTGGCCATAATGTATAGTACAATGATAACTTTGAAGTTCTAGGGGGCCACAGATTTGTTCCCAACATTAGGGATACTGTCTGTTTGCTAAATAGCACATAGCACAGTTTCTATCTACAGCAATTTACTAAAATGGAGTGTTCAATTTTTATGTGTTCATTTCTTCTATCAATAAAAGAATAAGTTAAATAATAGTGTTAATGTTCTAAAAACTCTTTTTATATGATCTGTATCGCAAAAACTTCTAAGAACAAGTTAATACTTCTAGCAGGTGCAGCCTGCTACCTGGTGGTGTGTCTGCACTGCAGTTTGGAGGTGTGATTCTCAGGGCAGGTAGACAGACTTATGTTTAGCTCAACACAAGAAAGTGTGCTAAAAATAGCATTGTGGATGTTGCATCTTGTGCCAGTGGCGGCTCTCGGGCTAGGCATCCATTCCCAGACGCAAGAGATTGGGCAGGCTTGGACTTGGGTGGCTAGCCCAAGTTGCTGCCAGTGCCACAACATCCATTCTGCTATTTTTAGTGTGCTAGTTCAAGGTGAACTAGTGCAAGTCTGTCTGCCCATGCTGGGAATCACATCTCCCTTCTGTAGTATAGATATACTCTGAAAGCAACTATAACTGGTACCTTTCACAGTTGATTTTTTTTCAGTATGTTTTACCATATGGTGTAAGGATTATGCATGTTGTTCATTTGTTATTTAAAAGGGGATTTCTGCATTTATTATTACAGAATGATCTACACCAATCAACTTAGGAAATACCATTTTCTGTTCTTAATATCTGAATTTTAGTTGATTAGATTTTGCATTTTTGTTTTTTGTTGACTGTCATTGCTAATCCAGCATTTGGCTCTTCTACTGAAGGATTAGATTGCTGCTGGGCATTAAAAAATCAGCAGTTAACATGTCGTCTTCCAGGCTCTTAAAGAAAATTCAAAGATCTCTAATAACTGAATGATGATGATGAACAGCTTGTTTAGTACATTGTGTATGTGAGCAGGTTATAAATGAGTTGCCACATAGGCTATTACTATTCCAGTTTTGATGCCGTTGATAACTAGAAGACATTTGTGGAATTAAAATATGTAAATTGGGGAGGGAAAATTGAATAGAGTATTTTAATGATGTGCTAATTTTATGTGTACGTTACATAAAAGCTATTTATTGTTTTGGAAGATATTTAGTAATCATAAGACTACACCCACTCCATTATACTATTGTGATGTTAATAAAAACAACCCACACTCAAATTTGATTTTTAGTAACTTAAAATGTTCAGAAATAATAAAATATATACATAGCATGTCAGAATTTTTTACCCAAAAAAGGAATGGGTAAAATCCTGGAGCTCAGTTATTAACTAGTCAAAACTAGCTAATGGTTAATCAAATGGGAGATGGTTAATCAAAAATAGAATTTTTGACAAAATTGCATGAAAAACTTGAAATTCAGAAAACTTTGACTACTAGTACTTGGTTTAATAGGAGATTTTTATATTTCCCTGACTGATAAATGTATTCCTCTTTAAGAATATAAAATAATACATCACAATATCTTAATTCTTCTTCTCTTCATACACATAAGAAGGTGATCTGAGAATGTTTAAATGTTTCTTGCATATTCTCCTCTTATGCAAATAGCCCAGGAGTACCATCTGTGGGATGACAAGGTAGAGATCTGAATGTTGGATGTTCAAAACAGTTTTAAAAAAATCTTGCATCGAAGTGCCAGCAAGATACAAAGTTTCAGCTTTTCAACTCCAGGTTGTTTTATTATTTGGGTTTTACAATTGCTAGAATGATAGCACTAGTATCTGAAGCTTCATATAAACCCCCAGGTGTCCCTCTTGCTACCACTTGCCAGTGTATCTCATCCCATGATGATGTTAGACTACCAAGGAGTGAGGAAAATTCAGTTCTTAGGCCAGTGATTGGATGGGCATTTTTACTGAGACATTCCCCACTAGGAATTGGACTTTCTAATAACTCATTTCGCACTGGACACAGAACAAGCCTACAGCTCATATATGTATGGTCACTATAATAATAAATGGAGATATACCTATCTCACAGAACTGGAAGGGACCTTGAAAGGTCATCGAGTCAAGTCCCCTGCCTTCACTAGCAGGACCAAGTACTGTCCCTGACAGTTCCCCCCCCCAATATCCCTAAATGGCCCCCTCAAGGATTGAACTCACAACCCTAGGCTTAGTAGGCCAATGCTCAAACCACTGAGCTATCCCTCCCTCAGGATTACTTAAAACTGGTGACTTAGGCCTGGTCTACACTACAGGTTTAGGTCGACTTGAACAGCGTTAAATCGAATTAAGCCTGGACACGTCCACACGACG